CGGCATCGTTCACCGCAAGTGCTTCTAAGCAGTTATGCTCGATTCAAATTATTATTATTATCGATATATTGTTATTGCTACACCTTTTCCCAAAAACACACCGTTCACTGCCGTACCGCTTCGTCTAGTTGCGTTTCCGTTAGTTCGTTTCTATCGGCTTTGTTTCTACGTGGCGGTGAGATTTTTTCCGACGAACATTGTCTGAATATATACGTCATCTTTTGTATATAAGTTTACATCTACGGAATAAATCAGTCTTATATTCTTACAACTAATCAAAACGGTGCTCTTCATTTTACGATTCCCTGAATATGAAATTGGTTTTTAAAATTTTAAAATTCGGTTTATTTGTGAATCTATTATGTTTTTCGAATATTGTTATTATTATTATTATTATTATTATTATTATTTTGTTAAAAATTGTTCCTTCCGATCAAGTGAAAATATATATTCTCGGTTTTAATAGAAACAATTTTTCACACTTATGAGTATATCGAATATGTTATAGTAAGGTGCAGATCGGATCGTTTCTCATTAAAATCGTGCATTTACAAATTTCGGTCGTTGTAAATATTAAGGATGAATTAAAAAAGAAAAAAGAGGGCGAGCCATCAATCATTGTACATTCGTATTGATAGCTTTGCTAGATAAAAATTTTGCGTAAATTTAAAAACGGGATAAAAAATAGGAGTAATAGGTTGAACTATTTTAACGGGGTTCTAGAAAAAATTTGTTTATTAAAATTTTCATATAAAAAATCTAAAAACCGATACTAATGTATCGAACATAAGTAATATTTTGGGAGGGGTAGTGGTGTACATTGACCTACCATGCATGGACTGAATAATGCGAAAGAATAATTTGCTTCTTTATCAAAATTTACCAAGATATGCAAACGGGCTTCTTTGCGTTATCATGAGCTTCGTAGTCCATTTATTAAAAATAGATGCACGCTCATTCAAAAACATATTTCCTTCTTGGCTTTCTCTCCTCTATTTCAATCAACACTTTGAGTGTTTGTGTTTGTGTTTTTGCTTCATATTATCTGCAAATTTATGACGTCAATTAATTATATAAATTTTGGAATTTTTTTTAAATATTTTTAAAAAAAGAAAACAGTCTTACTATATTTTTATATTTATAATTTTATCCTTTTTTTAATATATTCATAGTTTTTAGGTATATAATAAGAAAATTTTATAATTTTTCAAAATTTATTCCATTTTATATTTATATTTATTTATATTATTATATTTTATATATAGAATTATGCATACATATTTGTAAAAGAATTTAAAGAAATTAATTCATTCTTTTGAGAATCTAATAGAAAAATTAATTTTTTAAAATTTTGATGATTTTCATGATACACGTATAATTGAAATGATTTTTAACATTTATGATAAAAATATCTGTACATTACATCCTATTAGATTATTAGGTTATAATTTTCATTTAATGGATAATTATATTATTATTTATTTAAAGATAATTTCTAATTATACAACTTAATTATAATCAACTCATATAAATGAAAATTGCATTACCTTGGAACATTCCATCGATTGTCATCTCGTAGCATGATCACTTGTAAAACTGTCGATAGATCGATCACCATATCCGTATAAGTGTAAAGGATTTCGTGTGAAAGTTTACGAGAAAGATGTGCTGTTTCGGGGTTGAAACTGGGCAATGCGAATCCGCGAATCGGTCGCACGGTTCGACAGTAGCTCCTGCAAAAAGGTGGAGGGGATCGGTGGTGGCTCGAGCTACGTAGTCGCCCTGTGCATTCCCAATTATAGAAAGCAGTCTAATCGTTCAATAATTTGATTCTATATGCCTTTCATCGATTGGCTTAATCGAATCATTTTCGCCGATGTGCAACCATAAAATTCAAATCGTTTAGCATTAAAAATGACATCACGTTCCGACTATAATCAGGATTATTATTGTTGGCACGCTGCGACATGCGAAGAATATATACATTTTATGAGTAGAATGACAACTGTAAAATGAAACTGTCATGATAATCGAAGCTTTCATTAATCATAACATATGTTTGTTTTTTAATGGAGATTTTAAAAATTAGCAATAGAATATTAAAATGAAATAATAAGATTTAATCACATGAAACAATGATAGGTTATAAAATTAAAAGATGCGATTAAAATCAATCTGAATAGAAGAGATTAAATTAATATTAATCGAATCAATGAAATCGATCAATTTGTTTTAAATGCATAATTATAATTCTTTATTATCCTAATAGATATACGCTTTTACTTTTTTATTTTTATATAGTTTACATGCATACCTATAGGTTAAATTATGTTGTGCTCCCTGCTATTAACCGGATGCATATTTCTTCAACTTACAACAATTTAAAAATAACACATTCCTAAAATTCATTCATTAATATCACAAACCACAAACATAGAGATTTAACTTTATCGAATCTTTCTTTCGTAAAGTACAAGTTAGCACGCTTCACGTGAACTCGTAAACTTCATGCCTATTAAAAGCTATCCACGCATAAATCTAACCTATAAACTTTATTAAGTTCACTTATTTATAAACTGTTATTAATTTAATATATAAAAATTGAACATGTGATATTTATTGTTGTTTTTAATTAATTAAAAAACAACTTCTTCTTAATATTTAAATTTAAACTTTTTGAACTCAAACGTAAGAACAAATATATATTTATACGTGTTGAAATTATTCAGAAGTGAACTCTATTTTTCATGAATGATCGAACGAGAATGATCGAACATAAATCGAAGGATAAATCGAATTAAAAATCGATGCCCTTCGACCCTTGTTCGATTAGCACCCGGTGAGAGACGGCCCTGGCGTGTGACGAGTCCTTATTTGGATTGGGGGGCCGTCGGCCGCCGCCTCGTCGCGACGCACAGCGTCTCTCCCTCTCGGCGTCACGGTTAGGGCGGCTAAGGACTAGGTG